GCACCCCACCCGGCGAGCCAGCTTGCCCACCCACCCTTCCCGGCTCCCACCCGCGTGGGCGAGCGCAGCGTGTCATCTCGGAGCCCCGGCAGCGAAGGGGGCTCAGCTCCAGGCTGGCGACCCGCCTCCCTTGTGGCTCGCGCTCGAGCCCCACGGCCGTCGCTGCCTCCCCACGTGGAAGACAAGAGAGCCCGGAACGCAGCCTGCTCCAGTCCAGACTCCTCTCAGGACTGGTGAGCCGCTGCCTGGAACTCTGACCCCAGCGCTGTCCCCTCCACGCCCCTCTCCTTGCCTCAACTGGCTTGGAAAGTTGGAAGTTGCTCCTCATTCCTAGCAGTCCCTTTGCGAGACCTGTAGTGTTCCCTAGAAAACAACCACGTCTTTAACTACTGTAGAAAACGACTTCCCTGGTCACTACAAAATGACGGGACCAACGTCCTAGCAATGAGGAATGAAAAGGGGTATTTGGTTACAACCAATTCAGTATTAAAATCGCAAGCTATGACCCCAAAGCACTACTATTACATTCTGTGGCCTGCCACACTGTGTTAATTTGGGTTGACTAGAGAAACAAATTCGTAGACACTCATGTGTAGGAGAGAACTTTATATCAAAGAGCAATTGTACATTAAGAAACATCCCAGCCCAGTCCAGATCAAGTCCATAAGTCCGATATTACCCCATATGTAGATACCTGTCCATAAATTCCTCTTCAGACTCATGCAACCATGCAATGATGCCGAATGCAGTAGGATCACAGGCCAGTGGGTGGGAAGTCTTGTGGATCCAGTGGTGAAAGCATGTCAGCACTGGCGAGGGTTTCCACATGGCTGCTCCAGCACCAGGGCTCTGGAACCATCAGCATAGCTCCATGTGACTTGTCAACAAGAATGTCTAGCAGGGAGTGAGCTTATATGTGGCCTCCAGGGAGTTTCTTACCTCAGTTTCTGCCTTCCAAATGAGATCAAGCTGTGACCTGATTGACAGGCTAGACTCCACCCCTCGTAAATTGACTGGAGATTATGTAACTGTCACATGCACTCTCAGACTCCTTCCAGGTCTGAGCGTTCAGATACTGTGTAAAATATCCTAAGAAATACACAATGTGCAAAGTGAGTAATGTCAATAGGTTAATATTCAAATATTCCATAGAAAATTTTAGTCAGATGTAGAGTTAACCTAACTGTAGGATTGAACTCTAAGCTGGAGGAAGCTGTATTTTATAGAAGCTATGCTAATAGAAAAGACCCTAGACTCAGTAATATTCTTAGAAGCCCATATGCACCAAGCCTTACACAGCACAATCATTCTGAAGAGAAGTGTCAGCATGTGCCCAGTACACAGAAGTTGATGGAATTCCTGAATCACCGCCATGATGGTCACGGCACATGATAGAGAACAAATATGATTAGTAGCACATCCATTCATCACTGTTGAGGGTGGGACTACAAAAGAGGCAGAGGGGAAGGACCATGACAGGCACATATATCAATGCAGATTAAAAAAGATTCAGGGTCGGTCAGTTTGGGGAAATCTTTAAGGATTTGTTTTTGTTTTTAGATGCCTTCAAATAGGTTCCGACTCATAAAGCCTCTACATACAACAGAATTAAATCATCCTCACAATTGTATCTTAACCCATTCTTGCTGTAACTCTTATCAGTCCATCCCCTTAAGGATCTAACCATCCACTTTACCAAGTGTGAAGTCCCTTTCCAGACACTGGCCACAGAGAGGGTGTGTTGATGGTCTAGTGGCTTATGTGTTTGGCTACTAACCACAAGGTAAGCAGTTTGAAACCACCAGGCTCTTAAAAGATTTATACCCTAGAAGCCCACAGGGGCAGTTCTGCTGTGCTCTGTAGCATTGCTCTGAGTTGGAATCTACTTGATGGCAGTAAGTTGTTTTGTTTTAACTTTTGGTCTCATTAAGAATATACCCAGGTAAATTTTTTGCACAAAAAGGATGCAAGACAAATTCCCTGGTTTGGGGGACACGTTTCTGCATACTAGTTCATCTGCTTTCGACCCCACTCTTCCTGAGGTAAACTGCCTTTCCCAGGGCTTACCCACGACTTCTCTGTGCAGTGCCACATTGTTGGAGTTACACAATGGACTCACAAAGACCCCAAACAGATGTCAAGATTCAAAAATGGAGTTAGGGCTCCTGATGTAGACTTCAGTCTTCCACAAACCATGTACTTCAGAATTTAAACGGTCTCATGTAGTCCAAGGTTTAACTACTGCAAAGATGGAATATCACACACCTTTTGCAGGTTTGTGTGCCTCTACAACCATGAGCTATATTTTCAAAAATGTTTTGAAACATTACATTTTACATTTCCAATGGTTTAGCAAGTCGTTTGCATTCTCAGATGAGAATTTGGGGGGTTGTTTGAAACTGTATCAGGATCTCCTGAGAAAAATAACCAATAAAATATATCTAGAGAAAGAAGACCAATATTTAGTTGAAAGAATTGGTGCATACAATTGTGTTGCCAAGTTCACAAAATCCATAGGTCAGGTGGCACGCAAGAACTCTGAATGACCAGACATTGGTAATTTGAGCAGGGGGTCAGTTTACATAAGGCAGTCTTCTGAGACTTCTGAGTGGGAATTATGCACTCCGCTTGGGGGGTCTCTTTGGCTTTCAGTACTTCATTTCCTTGGTCTTGCTATTTAGACCTTAGGACCATACCCTCTGCCATTGAGTCAGTTTCGACTCATAGTGACCACAGAGGCCAACGCAGAACACTCTAGGGTTTGTGAGACAATCAACCTTTATGGGTGCAAACAGCCTCCACTTTCTTCTTTGGCATTAAGCAGGCTGATGCTTAACCCACAGCAGTACCAGAGGGCCTGTTAGGGTATTCTGCCCTCAATAAGTAGACACTGTCCTGTTTCAAAAGAGCACAGGTGGAGTAGTGGAATGCACATTGGATGGTTAAACATAAGGTCAGAACCTTCGGAGAAGAGATTTGCTGCTCCCATGAAGATATACAGCCCCCCAACGCCTATATGGGAGCACTGAGTGAGTCAGAATCAACTCAATGGCAAATTACGTTTGGTCTCAAAAACCCTATAGAGCAGTTCTCCCTTGTATTATGTGGTCCCTATGAGTTGGGATGTGTTTGGGTTTTTTTTCAATGATCTTTGTTTCAATCTAATGATGTTATGAGAAATAAGCTGAGGAGAATGAAAAGTGTGTAGGTCATCGGTTGCAAACAATATAGAACTACTCTGCCCAACTTAAGCAAACCTAGGTCTAATAGAAGGATATCAGGAATTCCCCAAATTGATGGGACATCAGGTGTGTTAGTCTGGGTAGACTAGAAAACAAATTCATAGACACTCATATGTGTATAGGAAAGAGCTTTATATAAAGAGTAATTGTACATTTGAGAAAGCATCCCAGCCCAGTCCAGATCAAGTCAATAAGCTCGATATTAGCCCATATGTCCACTATCAGTCTGTAAATTCCTCTTCAGACTCACGAAGCACATGCAATGACACGGACTGCAGGACGATCACAGGCTAGGGGTAGAAAATCTTGTGGATCCAGTGATGGTGGAAGCATCTCAACACTGGCATGGGTCTCCACATGGCTCCTCCTGCTCCAGGGCTCTGGATGCCATCAGCATAGCTCCCTGTGGTTTGTCAACAGGAATGTCTCACAGGGAGTGAGTGTGTGTCCCAGCCTTCAGCAAGCTAATTATCTCCTTAGCGCCTCCAAATGAGGTCATTAAGCTGTGACCTGATTGACAAGCTAAACTTCACCCCTCCACTCTTCATAGTCTCAAGGTGACAAACAGATTATGTAACTACCACTTCAGGATAGGAAGCTGGCAAGAGTTAAAAGGAACTGTAGAAGTACAGAAGCAAAGAAAACCGGACAATGGCAGAGTAGGGTGCCCCCTCCCTCCTGCTTACCTCTTAGCATATTTAGAGAAAGGTCTTAGAACACAGTGTTGGCAGCATTGTTTCTGTCATCGGTGTGTCCCTGGATGGTGTGTGAGCAGGGTGAAACCTGATGTTATAAAGCTTTTATAGAAGCAGTATTTGTAACCGCTCTGTGAGAATAAGAAAGGTCTGGAATGGTCTGTAGAAAGATCAGATTTAATCTCAAGCGGCATCATAAAAGAAAGCTCCTTCTTCAGCTCTGGGGGAGCCTGTCATAGCTGACTTACCTCCTAGCAAAGGGGGAGATAAGTGTCATGCTTGATGTTAACATGGTTTTTGGTCACAAACCAGTGGTGACATCAAGGAGTCCCTGAGCCAAAATTTGAATGACTATATTTACAGAGAGCACAGATCAATAGCAATTAATAAAAACTAACATTGATTTTTGGCTGATAGTCTTTGGTTTTCAAGTAGAAAATACAAAATAAGACTAGCTAACCAGACAATTTATTCAATTACCTGTGGGTACATTTTGTAGTTAATTCATCCTATTCATGAGGAGCCAATGCCACACAAAAAACTAGTGATGCCACGGGAAAATATTTTACCATAAAATTAAAAATTTTTGATGCTTATATATTTCTCTGGTACCAAGTGCTGTTTGTTTTTGTTTGTTTGTTGTAGCTGAAAAAAT